AAAATGAGCAGTTATTTACATATATTCCATAATATTTGTACATTTGGATCATAACCTCCAATATTGAAAAAAAAAAAATTTTGAAAAAAGGATCCCAAACAGAAAAAAACACTCGAATCTTATATGGAATTATTCAGAATTGCATTTGGAATAAGCCTATACATGTCTTAGGTGGTACTTTTTGAGTAAATTCACCAAAAAGTAGTAATTTTGGGGAGAAAAAAAAATATTTTGACTATTTAGATCTAGGCCTAGATCTAGCACTCAAAAATATTGATTTCTCAATTACAGTGCACTGGCAATTTGCGTCTAGTAGTATCAATATTATAAAGAAGAGTCGTACATTTCTTTAGTGAGCAAAATAATGATCCATTTTGTTGTGTAAAAGTACTAAGACTGGTGTCTGGGCTATAATTTGGGCTTCGCGATAAAACAATGTCGCATAAACTTCGAAATCGTGTCTCAAAACTGAATCAAAACTTCCGATTTTCGGTGGAAACGCTTGACCTGGAAGTCAACTTTATATTATGACCTTTATTTTAACATGGATATGTGGATTGGAATAGAAACCAAGCTAAAATTGAACATCGGTTCTCGAGCCACCGGGGGTGGCTTAGCGTACTGGCGGCACTTTAGCCGCACCGCCCCCCACAGCTCGGCGTAACGAATGAGTTAAAGTGCGCAACTTGCACATGAGCCCTCCGAGATTTTTCGCCCTTGTATGAGAAGGCTAGGTGTAGATCTTTCCTACCAAAAGATAAGGGGTGTGGCTGAAAGACAGCAGTAAGAACAAGCCAAGGAGTAGCACTAGGCAGCAGAATGAGTCAAAAGCCCAGAGGAGGCGGCAAAGGAGGTGAGGGGTGGGGGCTGAAAGAGGAGACGAATGCAGATGACAGGAGACAATTTTAGAGAAGAACATTTTTCGGTCGCTACCTGGATTCGAACCTGCGACCTTTGAATGAGAGGTCAACACCTTAATCTCTAGGCCATGAAAGCCCCCTTTTGTAGTTAAAAATTCTTTAGTATGAAGGGTGCTTTGCTTGAGTTTTTGTGGTTGATTCTCTTCAAATAGTTAAGATTTTATTATTTTGCATCCCTTAGTCATAAAAAATAGAAGTATTTAATAACTCAGTTGTATTCTTTCATTTTCAGTTGGAATTGATTTATTTGATTAGCATACTTTTGAAAAACACATTACCTGGATATTTCAGTGGTCACTCTCCCCTTTGTAGCTACTTATTTCCTTTCTTGTACCACACATGTGCCCCAAAAATTCAGTGATGCAAATCTAACAGTTGACCCAAGGGATGGGTCCTGTGAGCTGAAGGGGATAAAGCTCAATATGTTTATCATCTGTTCAATAATCAGGGCTGTCTATTAGTACGAAATTGGCAAAATTAAAAAAAAATTTTTTTTCAATTTTATAACAAATACGATTATAACACCCTTGACTCAGATTTTAAAGGATTTATTTGCTATTCACCAACCCTAACCTATCCCACCCTCCTGACGTATAAGGGAGAAAAACAATCAGTGACAGTGTATGCCACTATGTCGCTTGCAGCTGTCTAACTATACTGGTACATGTAGTTGCTCATTGTTACTTTACCCTTTGAAAAACATTAAGTTGCAACAAATCCAGGAATAGGTTTGACGAGGTGTTAAAGAATTCCTCTACTTTGAGTCATGGGTCATGGTTAAGCTGATGAGAGAAATTTTGTCGTTGTAAAGGACTTGTTTGAAACAATCAGCTGTGGCACGTGGAAGGGTGTGATGCGATGTACAATTGCGTTCAAAGGCTTGTGAAGCATTCCACCTTATTCTTTTGCTTTTGCAAGAATCAAGTTGGCAGTTAATATCATCATTTTATCATTTGATCGTGTTGAGTAAGTTAACAATGGAAATGAAAACTGAATCAGGTCTTCTTAGTCTTGATATGTTTCTTATTTTTTTTTTTTTTTTTTTAACTTCACAGAAAATTGTGGCCATAAGAAAGATTTCAAGACATCTGCTTACAGCTCTTGCTTTCTTGAGAGGTCAGCTAAGCATTCATGCTGATGTGAAACCAGAGAACATTCTTTGCAGCAATGGTGAGTTTTACCTACTGGACACTAGACAAGGCTCGAAATAAAATTCTCAGAATCCTGTGCATCTCATCAGTATTTTATTGATTTTCAACATACATGTAATTATTTTGTTCAGGTACATTAATGACTGTTGAAAAGTTACTGTGTGTAGGAATTGAAGTAAAAAGGATAAGACTTTTGATGCCATGGGCAATTTCCTGATCTTGGCGTTTTTTTATTCTAATGACAATGTAGAAAGAGGTAAGCGTAAGTCTTTCTTCATTTTAACTGAGTAATGGGATTGTCTTTAATGTATTCTTTGCTTTGAGTTGAATTAATTGATGATTAATTGTTCCGTTGTGCAGATATTTATCAAGTGTTATTAGTGTATATTTTATTTGTTTTGTTCATAAAAAGTGTATTTTAACATTTTGGTTTCACCAGTTTGGTATTTTGGCAGATTGTTTTATAATCTGGGACTGCCAGATTGTGTCTTCTTAACTCTTAAGATTCTGGTCCCTGATAAATGTTTGCCCGATAAGCTCAACCCCGCGCGGCGCTCCACAGCTGGTCCCTGACCAGTCGTCGTCCCGCGCGGGCAACGCATTTCGTTTAGTGCGGGGTTTGCATCTGTATGCTAAAATGTGTGTGCGTCAGTCTGCTTGTGCCTGTGTGTCCATCTGGAACTTACTGCATTGTTTTGCAACGCGAGGCGTTGGTAGAGATAACAGAGCGTTGGTTGAGACGTTCATCCAATGAAATATGAGCATTTTGACCCAGTTAGACACTTGAGGGACTCGAAAGGATATTCAGGAAATAGGACTTTCATCTTTCAATGCAAACACCTTTCCTCACTTTTCAAACGATCTAATTCTTACACCAAATGTTGTTTCCTGATGTAAATAATCATATTTGATGGTTTTTTAACCATTGTCCTACCAGAGGGAGAAATTAGAGAGCAGCTGAATAAAAAATATATTCAGAAATTATCCCATTTTTATCCTCTTTCGAACGATAGCTGATAAGCAGCTGTTCGCAAATTCATTCATAATAGGTGTGAAATCTGGAAAACTCTGGAAAAGTTATTCGATTTGGTGTAACTTCCAATCTCAGTGTCTCTTATCAACCGACGAGGAGATAATAGGATTATTCGTGTGATCGTAACACTTATTCATTGATTGTATCAGTTTGCTATAAAAGATGAGATGTTTCCCTGACCTGCCGCATCACGCTCGCGTGACCGATGTCTGACCCCGGCGCCTCGCAGCACAAGCTCGTGGGCGGCGTAAGTGGGTCATCAATCGATAAGAGCCCTCTTCCGGTTAACCCCGCAGGACTAGAGTTAATGAAAAAACCCATGCCAGTAATACAATTTATGAGTCTGTATTTTTATTGTTGTCTACATGGTGCAGGGTTTCTTTTTCTTTCTCCAGGTGTAGACTGGGATACATTACACTTGATTGACTTTGGAAATGTGATTCATCATACTCATTCAGAAGTTACTGTTTATTTCTCCGATTTTGAACTGCAGACTCTTCCGTACAGAGCACCTGAGGTAATTTTGGAAGTTTTGTTGGTATGAGAATGATTTATGGTTCAGTGTAAAAGTATTTAAATCATTTCATGTTTTTTTGAATTGTAGAAATCTCACTGAAGCCCCTTCGTATTTGGATTGACATGGAATGGGTACCCATGTTTCCTTCTGTGTTATGAGGTGGAGGGAGTGACTTGTTGGGATAAAAAAATGTCAGTTTTTACTGAATGTTTCCCATCTTTTCTGCTGTGTGATCTCTTGGTCATCTTTCCCATATTCTGCTGTCCATCATTAACCCACTCAGTACCACTGGATTTCCAGTAGGAAGATGGCTCAGAATCACACAAAGGGGAATAAATCCATGTTTGTGATGTAGTGGGTGTTTTTTTAAAAATCATTGTAAAATAACCAATCCATTGATAAAAAAAAAATCTTGAAACAAGTTCTTCACAAATGAATACATTTTAATTTAGAAATTACTTGTTTACTGTGTGTGTTGACTGTATTTCATAATTGAAGATAAAATCAGCCGAGTCGTAGATCTAGATCTAGTCATATGCTCCCCATTGACCTCATTCTCATTGTCGGAATCACCCCCCCCCCAAAGGCACAATTAGATCACCATCAATGTCATTTTCACTTCAATTGCTACCATTCTGTGGGTTTTCTCCCCCAGAACTGATATTTTCATTAAAGTTATTCAAAAGTTCGCCTAAATCAGCCTGAACGCGATGCCAGCGGCTTGCGAAGAACGCTCAATCTTAGCTTGCGTGACCCATGTGAACAGCAGTTTCTTTACATTGAATTTAGTCCAACTAAAATTTCCAGAGTTATGTCCCTGCTGCTCTCAAAGAGAGAATAATTATATCTATTTTCTGATTGCGGGTTAAATACTATGGTTACCAAACGTGTGCACTTCCCCAGAAACAACGCTACTAGCGCGCGGCCGGTCTTGGCCGTGATGGTACTAGGCTTATGAAACGGAAGCGGCTATGGTACCGAGTGGGTTAAATGATATCAGACTATTGTGCTCACCCTCATATGAAGCTTATAAGACACATCTGAGATGCAAAATGTCTACATTCATTACAATTTTCTCTCTGTCTCTCTCTCTCCCTCTTCCTCTCCCTCTCCCCCCTGCTCCCCATCCCAGATGCATTACATATTTATTTTATGGTACTGTGTTTGTCTTTTGAAAAAAAAAATCTTCTGTTTGAGTTTGTTTAATTGTGTAAACGAGTCAGTTTTTTGAACAATGTATTGATGGATTTCATCTGATTTCTGTTATGTTTGTAGAATTGTGTGCTTTACCTGAAATGTTATCGTTATTAGAAGTTATTTACAAATTTATTGGCACTTGATATTTTTTTCAGGTTCACATAGGTGTTCCCTTCAGCATGGAGATTGACATGTGGTCTCTTGGCTGTGTCCTGATAGAACTGTACACTGGGAAGATTGCCTTTTCTGGTGACGACAAAAAGCAGGTTTTGGAAAAGGTAATTTCATCTGGAATACTAAGGAAGTAGTCCCTGAGTTTTTTCTGCTGGTTGTTGCGTAAGGTGATGATGCACTTATTTCTTTATTTGTTTTCCTGAAACGCAATACAAATCAAAGTAGGTAACCTGTTCTGCTTCAGGTTGGGGTTGTTTTTTTTTGTTGTTTTTTTTCAATCCTATTTCCCCCATCACCTCCTTTTATGTAATAGTGTGAAAGGGTGCATCGTAAACTTATAATTTGCTCGTTTTCAGTGAGGCAGTTAATTTGAAAATCTAATAGATTTATGTTTTATTGTTTAGTGAGGCTTGAGGCCGACATTTTTGCTCACAATGTCTCTCTTCCTGTGCACCCATCATGCTACATAATATGTAATTCATTTCTTACACAGTGCTTCCACTCTTCTATATTTTTACGGAAATCCGTACTTTCTGCCTGTTCCGTACTTGTTCCTCCATCTTTATTGACTCCCTCCGTAAAAAGCTGCAACAGCGTAGGACTGCCGAAATTTTGTATCTAAAGATCCGTACTCGCCTTCGTATCGTTTAGTACAAGTATAAGTTACAGATATTTACGGTAATTCTCTCGGCTGTACGTTTAAGTTTTAGAAACCTGCCAGATTGTGCATTTCCTGCATTATTATTATTATTCGGCCATTATTCCGTTATACCCCATGCATTCATTGCGGGTTGGTCGGCAGTACATTTTTACCTGTGGATTGATAATGATCAAAATCTGGTGAACTTTTTGTGCCAATTTCCTCCTTTCTGTCATTCCCTCATTCCGTCTGTCTATCTTCGGATTCTTGCGGCGATTGGAAAATCTGCGCGTTGATCAAGTAAATTGGCTTGTGATCTTAGACAGAAAATTACTGTCGGAAAGAAACTTTTTTACAAATTTGTCTAGATTTAGATCTAGAGAAATGATCAATACGAAGATTCTACGGCACAGGAACGTGATAAGGGCTGCGATGAAAGAAATTTATGCTAAAACCAGCCTAAAACTACTAAAGTCAAGAATAATTCGAAGTGGTGTTCCGAGGTTGTGACATGCGACATTCAGGCGTGAAATTTAAGGAAAATTAGGGTATACGCTAGGTAACTGTATTGTGAAAGTACATATCTATTCATTATTCCCAGATTTACCTTCTATCAATGGTGCGATGACAAATTAATTGAATTATAGTAGCAATGGAAGGGGAACCTGCTTTTAAACATTGCCATCAATGGAAATATATTATGTAGATCTTGGTGAAGAAATAAAATAAGACAAAATGTTGGTGAAAAAATAAATGTTATGGTTTGCAGGCAATTTCTTCAAAAAGGCTCCCAAATGCCATTTTCAACCCTTTAAAAGCACCAAATTTCCTGGACCCTGCCGGGGGCCTGTGCGCCCCCCACCCCCCCCCCTCCCCGACCCCCATCACAATTTTCCTTATTTTTTCAGCTTCAGCTAGTGGAAGCACTGCTTACACTTTGTGCTGAATGTTCTACAACCTATAACTGCACATGTTTGAGGTTGCCAAATCATAAGCGCATAGAGCCTGCTGTTGAGCGGGGATATGCGCTATACAAATGCTATCTATTATTATTATTATTATTATTAAGTCTGTCTGTCTGTCTGTTTTCCTCTCTGTTTTCTGTCTGTC